CCCACACCTGCAATGCTATGCGGTCCCACCAGTCTGTGCTTGTTTCCCGGGCCCAGAATCGGCATTCTACGGCTATAACCTGCCCCACTAACAGCATGATCTCCAAAGCACCGGGTCCCGCGGTTTGAGAGAATTCCATGTCCATGTCCTCATCACTCTCGCCGCCGTGCTGCCATAGCCTACTCCTCGCCGCCTGGTTTTGCAGGTTCTGGTTCAGCATAAACTGCACGATAACGTGTGAGGTGTTTACAATGTTCATGACTGCTGTCTTGAGCTGAGCGGGCTCCATGCTTGCCGTGGTATGGCGTCTGCACTGTTCACCCAGGAAAAAGGCGCAAAACGGTTGTCTGCCGTTGCTTCCCTGGAGAGAAGGGGAGGATGTACCCAGAACCACCCGCGACAATGTTTTTGGCCCCATCAGGCATTGGGATCTCAACCCAGAATTCCAATGGGCAGAGGAGACTGCGGGAACTATGGGATAGCTACCCACAGTGCAACGCTCTGGAAATCGACGTTAGCCCCGGTACATGGACGCACACCACCGAATTAATGTGCTTAGTGTGGCCGCATACATTTGACTTTATACAATCTGTTTCCAAAATTCGAATTCTGTAAATTCGGATTAATCCCGTAGTGTAGACATACCCCAAGACTGAAGTAGCAGGGGGAGCTCTAGGACATGACAGAGCTGTGCTGTTGGTCAGATCCAATACGCATGAGTAGAACTGTCTCTTTCAAGAACTCTGAAATTCATAATAGATATGTCACTATTTGTGATTATATTAACCGCTCCAAAGCTGTAGCAATGGACACCATCTAAATCTAAGCAAATGTGTCAAATTTAAACCAAACATTAAAGAAAGCTGGAAACAGAAGAAGAGCATTTTTAGATTTTGATTAACTTTTCACCCAGTTTGAGAGCAGGTATATTGAACAAAAGAAACTAAAAATGCAAATGTATCAAATTAGGAAGCTTTACTTTGGTGGGAGAATGAAGGACTGTAGGAGTTACTTCAAGTAAGTAGAAGATATGAGCAATGAGATTGAAATAGCTTATCAAAGATTGCAATCCAGTTCCCTGCCTCCCCATCCTACCATGCTCCCTCAGAACATTACTCTCCTCAAGATGTGGACGGCGAGCCCTATCCTGGCTGGAGGAAGAGCACAGCCACACAGGCTGAATGTCCTTGTTCAAACTGGGTGAGAGTCTGAATATTAGGCGGTTACACACAGGAAAAAAGGAGCTAGGTTATCTTTGAGCAAACTTGTCGGCCCTTCAACTAGCAATTCCTGAACCTTGCTGAGAACTAAACAGCAGAGTCTGCAAAAGGAAGCAGAACGGAGAGTTAATCCGGGTTCTCTTTTCAAAGCTACAGCACCTGCCTTTTAAAAACATTCAGCACAATTAGGTCTGTGCTGGCTTGTTTTAACTTCCACCTAGCAGTAGTCACTAACAACGGCACCTTCCTAGTCAGAGGTTCAGCCTTCTCTCTCGTAGCAGTAGGAGATATATGCTCCTATTAGTTTCCTGATTTAGGAGGACAACAGAGGAAGTGAATCTTATGCCATCATGTGCCAGCAAAGCCCCTCTGCCATGTACATTGGCCAAACTGGAAAGTCTCTACGCAAAAGAATAAGTGGACACAAGTCAGACATCAAGAATTGTAACATTCAAAAACTAGTAGGAGAACACTTCAATCTCCCTGGACACTCAATAACAGACTAAAAGTGGCAATTCTTCAACAAAAAACCTCCAAAAACAGACTCCAATGACAAACTGCAGAACTGGAATTAATTTGCAAACTGGACACCATCAAATTAGGTCTGAATAAAGACTGGGAATGGATGGGTCACTACAAAAAGTAATTTTCCCTCTGCTGATACTCACACCTTCTTGTTAACTGTTGGAAATGGGCGACGTCCATCTTGATTGCATTGGCCTCATTAGCACTACAAAAGTAATTTTCCCTCCCTTGATATTCACCCCTTCTTGTCAACTGTTGAGAATAGGCCACTTCCACCTTAATTGAATTGTTAGCAATGACCCCCCACTTGGTAAGGCAACTCCAATCTTTTCATGTGCTGTAATATATATTCTGCTTACTGTATATTTCACTCCATGCAGCTGATGAAGGGGGTTTTAGCCCATGAAAGCTTATGCCAAAATAAATTTGTTAGTCTCTTAGGTGCCACAAGGACTCCTAGTTTCTAAATCCTTTAGAACAGGAGTTCTCAACCTTTTTCTTTCAGAGCCCCCTCCCCCCCCCCCCCCAACATGATATAAAACTCCATGGCCCACCTTTGCCACAACTGGTTTTCTGCATATAAAAGCCAGGACCAGCGTTAGGAGGTAGCAAGGCAATTGCCTGGGGCCCCATAATACAGGGCCCCCACAAAGTTAAGTTGCTCAGGCTTTGGCTTCAGCCCCAGGTGGCAGGACTCAGGGCCCTGGGCTTCAGCCCCATGCGGGGTGGGGTTTCGGCTTTCTGTCATGGGCTCCAGCAAGTCTAACGCTGGCCCCACTTGGAGGACCCACCAAAACCTGCTCGCAGCCCCTACAGGGGGCCCTGGACCCCTGGTTGAGAACCACTGCTTTAGAATACCATGGCAAAGCACTGAGTGACACACACTGCACCTCCCTCAGATCATACAAAGTCAAAGTCTTATTTCTACTAGGACGGTCTCTTCAGGACCTCCCTTTGATTAAATCCCTTCCCCCAATTTCTCGGGTCAGGCTTGACTCTCACTTGCTTCAGGAGTACCATCCCGATACACATGAAACTACTACAGATGCACTTTCCTTGAAATGTATTTCACTGCTATAAATCAAAGATAAATTTAGAAACAGTACTGTTAGAATCACATAGGCCTCTAGATTCAAGAAGTGGATAGAAAAGAGACATGCCAGAGAGCTGCTCCTTATAATAGAGTTGTGTGGATCTAAACAGGTAGCTGAAATAGTAGCTTACAATGTTAATGTTAAGGAAATACACCCCTGCCTCAGAGCTTAGAATCTTCTTACTTTCAAAAGAAACTCTTTAGAAGAGGCCATTAGGACCAGACCACTGGGTTATGGCCATGCAGCACAATGCACCTTGAACCAGTTTAGGAGTGGCCTTGAGCCTCACTACCTGAGCTCAGTGAGGTCATGTTACATTGCAGAGATGATGCACATGGAATTGGAGAAAGAGTTCCTAAAAACTCTGACCATCCTCTTGCCACCTACCAATTCACAGAGCAGTCCAGCTTTGCTAGAGAATAAGCACATTGACTGTAGCTGTCTAAATGGAACAACTGCAGAGAGAATAGGACCTACGACACGCTGCCTGGTTTTGGTGCCAATGGTTGGTAAAAGACTCACTTGCATGCAGGGGAGTAAAAATAAAACAATCACCCTTGGAGTTCAGGAGGGTTCACTCTACCCAAACGCACATGCCTCAATTCCACTGCCCCTAGAAGTTTTTTTAAGTGACTTTTTGCAAAGAAGTGGTTTGATCAGCATTTAAGAGGATCATCTCTTGGAGGAGGAACTGTTATGTTTGTACAAAACGAATTCCAAAGCAAGAAGTTACCGCTTAACTATTTTCCAGTCAAATACTTGGATGACACCTCAACATCTTGAGAGATGGGCTGTTCATTCTCAGCATTATGCAGGAATTAGGGACACTGCTGTGCCATATACTAGCAGGGTTTATTTAGGGGGGAAACAAAAAGAATAAGGAATAAGTTATCTTCGAGTGTCATTATTAGGACATGAAAGATGTGTTATGGACTAGAAATATGTGCACGAAATATGCCTGAAAGCTAAGCCAGGAATGTCTTCCAGGCAGCAAAAAGTAAAACAGGAGATACTTTGTGTATGCACACAGTGTCAAAGTCTGTTGGCAGGAGCAGGCAGTCAGAAGGTGCCACTCAGATTAACCCAGCATGAAGGGACTACAGTGTATTTATTAACTAACACATTTTAAAGCAGGTTACTATGGAACCCCTGTTACACAGCAATTTGCACTAATAAGCATGCATAAAAATAAACCTTCACATGCAACTATTTTAAAAATCCAGCTGCCAAAAAGCAACACTTCTCAGGAGGGAAATACATTCCTGTTTTATGGTTAACCTACAGCTTTAGAAGTATTTCTGATCTGAATTTGTTGTTCTTCCACTCAGAGGATAGCTGCATGAACAAGAAAAGCTGAGTCTAGACAGGTTACTGCAATAAGCATTGTTAAATCCACACCACCAACAAAACAGTTAACATGGAATAGGTGAGGACATAGTCTATGGAGTAGGGACTTTAACAAAAGAAGCATGCAGGTGGAGAGAAAGGCCCAGCGAGCCGAGAACCACTCACTGTGGGAGGTATGGAGTACCAACAGCTCTAACAAGGAACTAGCAGTTCCAGTGGTCTGCTGAACTTCTGATATGTTCTGCATTAATATGGAAAATCCAAACTCTCAACAGCAATGAAATATGAAAAAGACATCAAGGAAAAAAACAGAGAACGTCATAGACTGACTTTTTATCCTTAAATTTGGGAATAGAGCCCAGCAACCTTCTAGAGTAAAAAAAATTTTTTTTAAATACAAACTAGAAGAAAAATGATCCACTTGAAACTGTAGACCTTTAAATCCATACACCTAGGTCATGCACCTCCTCAATTCTATTGCAATAAACAGCATGTCAGCAATTTTTCTCACAGAAAATAAAATTCAGTTCAAACTATAACCTTCCTAAATTAAGAGGAAATTTACTTGCTGGAAGTGAGGTAAGTGTTAACATCAATGGTCTCCGGACATCCCATAGGTGGATGGAGGGTGGAATTAAACACTGACCTACTTTTGTGAACTGGAGTGTTTTAAGCCTTCACTTTATGCATATTAAATTTCCTTAAGAAATGAACTTCACCAGAGGTTTTTACTCCTCTTTCCCTCCACACAAATAGGGGCTGGGGAAGGCATTATGAGAATATGCGAAAGCAAAGACAGTGGTAAGTAACGCACCGGATTTCGAAGAGCATGTTGCTGTGACGGTCGATCCCTATGTGCGTGGCTGTCTCTTGTTATTGCAGATGCCCCAGAATCTACAGGAATGGACCCCACTGGAGTAGGCTGCAAAATAAAGCACCCATTATACATTGAAACCAATGCCTCAGTTAGGCTCCACTCCCAATCTACATGCATGCATAGGCTCTACTACTAGGTTAGCTCATATTCAGTGTGGAAGAACGAGGAAAATATAGGTCTAAAATAGTTTGAACAGCCAAAGAGAATCACAGCAGATGCTGTAAAATCTCTATGGGATTCAAAGGCTTGCTGGACATTTACAGCCACTAACATCTCATGGTAAACTGAAACACAATACTGTTGTTATATACATTTATAAAGGTACCCAACTTCATGGTATCTGAACACACTTTAGTGTAGGTTAAATTGAGTTAATTACAATTGCAAATAAGGATAGTTTTATGCATATTGTTTTCCTCCTCATCTCATGTCTTCCTACTTTTAGGAACAGGATGTGTTAATTAAGGCTTCATCTGCTTAGTTCCCAACTAAATCATAATCCCAGCTTGTAACTTCATGATCTCCATAGCAACCAATGGTGAATTGTTAAAGGAGTGATAGGAAACTTGCCTTAAAATGGGCTTTTTGCCCATTGCCTCTGAAATTAAACATCAGTGAAGAGAAATGAGATTTACAAGGAGAATGACTTCCTTTTAAAAGATAATATTACTGTGCAAAATAAGCAAACATAGGAAATGTTGTATATAATGACTGAGTATTGATGTAAAAACCACAAAAGCAGAGTGGCCCAAAAGCATAGTAAGTGACTGGCTATGCACCTTGGACACAAACTGTCCTTTGCATGAGCAACTAGCAGAATGGATTCTACATAGATACGTTTTATGAGAGTTCTCCAAGAGGCATCAGTGGGCCTCTTGGCAAAGCTTTTCCGCATACAGATGGTCCCAAAATTTAAAAGCATGTTCTGTTTGGTGATGACAGACCAGGGCACTAATCTTCTGCTACAAGCTGATGAACAAGGGAACAATGACAGCACGCTCAGAAAAGGAGAGGGTGGAAGTTAAGGAGTTAGCAGACTCTAGAATGTGAGCATTCTACATTTACCCTTTCCCCTATGGCCCTCATCACGATTAGAAGACCAATCTGAAAACGCACTGGCATTGGGATTTGCCCTTTTTTAGAATCCTCAGACCATTGTAACGGGAGAGGTTATTTCTCACGACAAAACCAAACTTGACGAAAGTGTCCACATGCAGGAGTTCTGTGTCTAAAAGCCATGACTTCTAATCATTCTGTAACAGGGGCAGCAGTCTCCAGCCTGTTAAGTGTTGGAACACTACAGAAAGCCGCAGTTTAATTATTGCTGACTCCGTAGGGCAGATGTGGCTCATTGTGAGTCCACCCTAAACGTAACTATGTTCTGAAACAGAAAGGTCCTGAGGGATGGAACCTTAGGAGCATCCAAGTCTGTCTGAGAAGGGTAAAACTTCATTTAAAAACAAATTTGCCAAACAATCCAGTAATGATTTTTGTGATCTTGTGTACGAAACGTGAAGAAGTGTCGCTGCAGCAAAATACTCTGTAGCTAATGTTAATATGCACATGAATGTGTTTTAAAATTTGCCAGCTGTTCCAGTGGTATGATCTGAAACTGCGACATGGGACACTCAGGTTGGATTGCCTCATTATAGCATGCTCGGAGAGGGAGAGTCTTGTGATCTATGCAGGCAATTCACAGCAGTGTGATGGGCTTTGAACCAGAAAGTGAGATGGGGAGGAGTAAAACCAGAGGCAAATAGGGAAGGGTGTTTAAGGTTCCAACAGGGATGCAGAAGATCCCCTGTGCTAATTTCCATCAGGAGAAAGATAAACACATTCTCCTGATTGACAGGGAGAGTGATCCATTACGATTTCCGAAGGAAAGCCATCCCAGCCCTCAGTTTTCCATTCCCCAACTGCACTAGAGGCTGCAATTAGTTTTCGAGGCTATTAAAGGAAATTCTTATATGCCCACACAGCTGGAAAAGCAACCATGAGGGACTAGGAGACTTATTTCTGGAAGGAGGGTGCTTGTTTTGCAAACAAAACTTACCAGTGGCCTGCCAACCCAGTCGTAGGCATAATCAAAGGTGTAGCCTTTTTTTTCAAATAGTTCTGTAAAGATAGTTCGTAAGTAATCGTAGTCTGGTCTCTCAAAGAAGTCTAATCGCCTGACATAACGAAGATATGTGGCCATCTCCTCTGTTGGAAAAAGGCAAGGACAAAAGAGAAAAAAGGAGCATCAATATCTCGGCCCAGACTAAAAAAACCTACAGCAGCACACGCAGTAAAGTCACCTGCTACTCACGCCATATCTCTGTACAGATTACAAGTCTCTACAGCATGAGAGGAATACAACTGGTGGGATCTAGTCTTTGTGATACCCTGAGAAGCCAGGTGGAGGCTATTGGGCAAATTTGGCCTTCCAGTCTTTAGCAGTGATGAAAGTGATCTTGTCAGAGGAGGTGCATCTTTAAAAGCAGAGCTGATACTAGGGGGAGTTTGAATAGAAGTGGGTAAAGTATACATATTAAAAAATATGCACAAAAGCATCCCCTGCTGGAACAGGCAAGTGAAGTCTCCTCCACACAATACATAAAAGCAGTGCTAGTTTGACAGTATCAAAGGCTATGGAAGCAAGAAAACCACATTTTCCTGGAAATCATCCTCCTTGTGCCCAAATCCTGAAGCTTGAACAGTGCGTCACTTCCCCCGACTTTACGTGCCACATCACAGTCAGCATGCTTCTGACTTACAGGACTCCCTAGAGTCACTTGCCAGCACCGCTTCATTGGCTGGAGACATATGGTAGCTGTTGAATGACAGACCAGTCTTATCCCCCTTCCTCTGTAGGCCAGGCAAAGGAAGAGATGGGGGGAGGAGGGGCAGATCTTCAGATGGTGTAAATCAGTGATTCTCAAACTTTTGTACTGACCCCTTTTACTGGTGACACCCCCCCCCCCTTTATGAATTAAAAACACTTTTTTATATATTTAACACCATTATAAATGCTGGAGGCAAAGCGGGGTTTGGGGTGGAAGCTGACAGCTCGCGACCCCCCACCTAATAACCTCACGATCCCCTGAGAGGTCCTGACCCCAAGTTTGAGAACCCCTGGTGTAAATGATCACAGCTTCACTGACTTCAGTTTGAGCTAGGACAGCTCAAATGAAGGATCTGACCCTGTGAATCAAACATAGGTCTCTTGCCAGGCAGTACACACTGCCCTCCTGAGCCAGCTCATCTGCCACCATGTTTGATTGCTGTTCATTCCCACACTAGCATCTCCAGGAAAGTCTTTCTCCAAAACCTAGCAATATTTTCCATTTATTTTGATTCTTTTAATGTTTGAATGAGCTGAGTTTTTTTAATTTTAGAATCATTTGATCCTTTTCACAGCATCATGTGATGAAACAACTGCCTTGACTACCTTGTCCAGTGCTTACCTGCTTTCCTTTTTTAAAAAAAGCTTTAATAAATAATTAATACTTTACATGCACTACAATTTAAAAACACTATTTAAAGGTGAAATTTTCCGCCTGCTCCAGACACCTGCTGCCCTCCTCTGGATTGTAGATTTTTAATTCAAGTATGTAAGTTCTATTTTGCACATTAATTAATGCAACAATTATTAATAAAAATGTGTGTTTTTGTGATAAATGCAATTTTAAGTCTCAACAGCATACACACAGTATTTGTTGTGGTGGCATACAGCGACTTCAAGTAGCCAGGTAAGGCATGAGACCATCCCAGGACAGTCACCATATTGCTCTTGTAGAGATGTTTGCACTATAAGGCTATGTACAGTATGTGCGTGCAGTTACTTGGGGGGGAGGGGGGAAGAGATTTATATTAGCTGAACTGCAGTAGCACATTGGGGCCCGGTCTGTGACTGGGGCTCCTTTGTGTTAGGTGTTGTACAAATACATAACAAAAAGACTGTCCCTGCCCAGAACTACACAGCTATGTTAATGCATCATGAATGGTATGATGATGGAAGAGTTGGGAAGCACTAAAGCAAAGGCATCAGGAATCCAAATGTCAGCATATTCTCCACAAAATCCATCCAATGTATATTGTATGCAGAAAATTCAATTGTTATATTATGGATAAGTTGTTCATACAACAGTCATAATGAGTAACATTAACTTGCTCACCTTACACATACAATATTCTGATTACTAGTCCAGTTAACTGTTGACCTAAAGCTTTTTAGCACTTTATATGTGTTGAGGAGTTAGTTACTGTGGGATCCATAACTTTTGAATTCACTGCCCTGTTCAAATTCACACTGTTAACTGCGCACTTCTCAGGGCAGGGACTGTCTGTTACGTCTGCACAGTGAAGAGCTCAATGAGGCTTGGTCCTCTAGATGCCACCATAATACTACTGCTAATGTTGCATCAACATGGTTTTTGCACTTAGTCACTTTACAGACAGAAAAACTGAACTGCCCCTGCTTAGCAATATTAACTTTGAAATGGTGCAGATTGGCTTTGTAGTTCACACTCACTGAGGTGAAAGGACGGGGGTGGGATGGGAGAGGGAATTCCCTCTCTTCTTGCTGCTATCAGGCCATATATGCTATGCTCTGATTTGAAGCCTGGAGGACAGCAAAGGTTCCAAACCAGCAACCAGAAGCAGCATCTCCACTTTGTGGAGGATGGAAGAGGGCAGAACAAGGGAACAGCCAATCACAAAGGCATATCTCACCTTGAGACCCAGTGGATTTCTGACCAAAATCCTGCTGGGAAGCTAGTGCTACTTAAAACAACAATAATTACCTACTGTGCCTGCTATTCCTCTTGGGGGGGAGCTGGGCGGGAAGTGGCAGGGCGGGGATGGAGTGAGGGCAGGAAGAGGCAGGGCAGGGGTGGAGACTTGGGGAAGGAGTGGGGTGGGGCTTGGGGTGGAGCACGGGTGGGAAGAGGCGGGGCGGGAAGGGGGTTGGTGGGTAGTGGTGGTGGGGAGTTGAGCACCCCCAGGGCCTGGAGGAAGCCAGTGCCGGCGGCCTGGTGAGCATCCAGCTGAGGGAACTTGCTCAAGGTTGACACCCAGGGTCTGCTAAATTGACCACCCAGTTCTTTCACTGCTTCAAAAATATCAGATCTCTGCAGAGAACAAACTCCATATACCTGAGGCAGTCACTTGAGAGAGGCAATTAACAAATATGACACTCTCTTTTTTGGAAGATGGCCAAGTGGGGGCTGCTGTCTGCATTCCTCTTCACAAAAGAAAGAGCAACAGCGGGCACTTGAGCATTCTCCAACCACCTCAATACAAAGGACTGTGTTGGCAATTAACTGCAAGTAAGGACTGAAGGATTGGAGAAGAGTGAGGGAACAGAATACTACTGATTCACAGTAGCAGCTCCAGATGTTTGCCATCGACAGTAGCAATGTAACAAACAGCATTCAAATATTTTCTGACAGAACAAATATGTTGGTCCTGCTTTGAGCAGGGGTTGGACTAGATAACCTCCTGAGGTCTCTTTCAACCCTAATCTTCTATGATACAATAGGATGCGTTATGTCCAGTTCCTAATCGACACCTTACACAGACAGTACAACTGGTATAACAATTTTAACTGGGCCTTACCTGGAAAGTTCTCACAGAGAACTTCAACTGGAGTGTTTCTCTTTGTGTCCCCAATCTTCTGATATCTCTCTTTTAAGGTGTCAGCCTGTAGGGTACAAAGAGGAAGCGTAAGTATAAAGACAGAATCCAATAGCAGGGTAACTGACCTCGCTATAAGGGTGAAAACAAAAGGTATTTTATACAGAATCTTGCACATATCAGGATAGAAGAACTTTTTGTCCGAACTGCACTTTATGAGACACAAATATGAAGCAGCTACTGTACAATTCACTTGCCATGAGCAAAGACTACTTAGAGAGTTTCTGAAGGTATCGCTAAGATCTGAAAGGGAGAACATGTTTAAGCTTACAGATATTAGCTGAACATCACGGCTTCATGAGAATGAGTTTTTAATATATTAAAAATCAACTATTAGACAAGGCATTTTGGGCTCTCACCTTAGTGCGTATAACAGAACATCTAAGCTGCTCAGCAAGTAACAACTACTCAGTTAGCCTGGTGTGGCAAGGCACCTCCTCTGTCTCAATGGACTTAGCACTTCCTCCTCTGGCGCTAGTGAGGTATGGGGTAAATCAGCCCCACTCTGGACAGTGTTTGCCTTCCCTCTCCATATTTTCTTATCAGTATGTTCAAGGTAGGCCTCAGGGCAGGCCCAAGGAATGCTCCTCCACCAAACAAAAAGAAACCAATTTATAAACACAAAACAAAGGGGGAATCCCTTTCCCCACCCCCTCACTGGGGAGATGTTTTCCTCTTGTTGGCCCCGGGGCGCAAATCCTTCCCCTAAACAGGCATTCAGCTTTGGTAACTCAGGTGTCCCTATTTAACCTGAGTTAACCCCTTATCAGCTTATAGGAAAAAGGGCAGGGGCAACATTTCAGATTTTGGTGGGGGGAAGGGCAACTTTAACTGAGATTCCAGGGACTACTTAGGGACCTGAAATTTGGCAAATAACTTAGCAATTAGCGGACAGGAACACTGTATCTAATTCCGATTGTGACAAAGTTCCTCCTCTATCTTGGTGGGTCCTGCGCTTATTGGCGGATTTTCTTGCCTCAGAGATTCACCATGTGGGTTGGGGAACAGCCCAGAGACCTTCCCCTCTGGAAGAACCCACAGTCCAGGTCAATTGGGAGGTTTGGGGGGAACCCGAGCCCGCCCTCTACTCCGGGTTTCAGCCCAGGGCCCTGTGGACTGCAGCTGTCTATAGTGCCTCCTGTAACAGCTGCATGACAGCTACAACTCCCTGGGCTACTTCCCCATAGCCTCCTCCAAACACCTTCCTTATTCTCACCACAGGACCTTCCTCCTGGTGTCTGATAACACTTGTGCTCCTCAGTCCTCCAGCAGCACGCCCTCTCACTCTCCGCTCCTTGCGCCTCTTGCTCCCAGCTCCTCACACTCGCACCACAAACTGAAGTGAGCTCCTTTTTAAAACCCAGGTGCCCTGATTAGCCTGTCTTAATTGATTCTAGCAGCTTCTTAATTGGTTCCAGGTGTCCTAATTAGCCTGCCTGCCTTAACTGGTTCTAGCAGGTTCCTGATTACTCTAGTGCAGCCCCTGCTCTGGTCACTCAGGGAACAGAAAACTACTCATCCAGTGACCAGTATATTTGCCCTCTACCAGACTCCTGTACCCCACTGGTCTGGGTCTGTCACACTATATGAAAGAAAAAAATAAATAAATATTAGACCCACTCAGCTCTAATACTAACATGTTCTGACATCTTGTGGCAAATCATTTAAGAGACACTGGTTAGATTTAAAATTGTAATGTATATTCTTACTTTGTTATTAACTCTGCAGAGAGAGACACCCCGTCAGAACTCCTGGGTTCTATCTCAGCTCTGGGAGAGGAGTGGGGTCTAGTGGGTTACAGCAGGGGGCAGATACATCCATCTAGTCCAGTATCCTGTCTTCCAACAATGGCCAGTGCCAGGTGAGTCAGAGGGAATGAACAGAACAGGTCATCATCAAGTGATTCATCCTGTTGCGCACTCCCAGCTTCTGGCAAACAGAGGGAAGGGACATGCAGAACATGGTGTTGCATCCCTGCTCATCCTGGCTAAGAGCCATTGGTGAACCTATCCTCCATGAACATATCTAGTTCTTATTGGAACCGTGTTATAATTTTGGCCTTCACAACATCCCCTGGCAAAGAGTTCCACAGAAATGCTGTGAAGAAATACTCTCTTTTGTTTGTTTTAAATCTGCTCCCTATTAATTTCATTGCATGCCCCTTAGTTCTTGTGTTTGCGAAGTAGTAAATAATATTTCCTTATTCAATTTTTCCACACCATTCATGATTTTCTAGACCTCTATCATATCCCTCCTTAGTCATCTCTTTTCTAAGCTGAAAAGTTCTAGTCTCTTTAATCTCTCCTCAGACAGAAGCTGTTCCATACCCCTAATAATTCTTGTTGCCCTTTTCTGTACCTTTTCCAATTCCAATATATCTTTTTTGAGATGGGTGTCCAAATCTGCATGCAGTATTCAAGATGTGGGCATATCATGGATTTATATAGCGGCAATATGATATTTTCTGTCTTATTATCTATCCCTTTCCTAATGATTCCCAATACTGTTCACTTTTTTGTTTGACACTGCACATTGAGCAGATGTTTTCAGAGAACTATCCACAATGACTTCTCTTTCTATCCAAAATCTCTTTCTTGACAGGTAACAGCTAATTTAGAGGTTTCAGAGTGGTAGCCATGTTAGTCTGAATCAGCAAAAACAATGAAGAGTCCTTGTGGCACCTTAGAGACTAACAAATAAATTTGTTAGTCTCTAAGGTGCCCCAAGGACTCCTCGTTGTTTTAGCTAATTTAGACACCATCATTTTGATTGTATAGTTGGGATTATATTTTGCCATGTGCATTACTTTGCATTTATCAACATTGAATTTCATCTGCCATTTTGTTGCCCAGTCACCCAGCTTTGTGTGATCCCTTTGTAACTCTTTGCAGTCAGCTGTGGACTTAACTATCTTGAATACTTTTATATCATCTGCAAATTTTGCCACCTCAATGTTTATCTCCATTTACCTCTCTCTAGTCTGAAAACTAACCATTTATTCCTACCCTTTGTTTCCTATCTTTTAACTGGAGTGCCTGGCAATGCTTTTGGGATCATCTAACAATCCTTAATTTAATTTAATGACAAGCCTTTTGTTATCTTAATCACCCTGCCTCTGGTTATAAACAAACTCCCTACCCCAAGAGCAGAAGCTGTGTTGCAGTTAAGAGCTTCCTCTGGGGACAGGGCATGCGCTGTGAGCAGATCTCTGGTATGAAACCCGGGAGGGGGGAAGAGGAGCCCGCCCGTCCCCCCCAAATGGCACCCCTGAAAAAGGGCCTTTATCATTCTAGGGCTAATGTATCTGCCTTCCACCACTCTCTTGCAGCTCCCCAGCCTGACTTTGGCACATTGGTTAGCATCAGATTTTCACTTCTGCCAAAACCTGACTACATTTGATTTATTATGTGATTAACTGTCCCTTACTACACACTTGTCTACTGTCTAGACTACATTAACTATATAGCTGGTTACCAGGAAAGAATATGAAGTAACACACTCAGTTATGATTTTCTGAGCGTGTCCATCCTGAAGCAGCGAACTCCACTTCAATCACTACCCCAAGAACAAAGCTGCTCAGTCTGCATTTCAGTATCTCGTTCCAGAGAGTCCAGTTTCCAATTTCTCAAGAGTTATTTAAAATACTCCTTTTATGAATGAAACATGTTAGAAGTATCAGTGTAAGCACTAGAAAGGATTCTCCTCAAGGTTTTAGTTTGGAAGGGGGAGAACAAAGCTCTATGGTGGGAGAAATCTGGAAGTGTGAAAATACAATAATCTGTCCGGCATTATTTTAGATCAAGTCAAAGAACGTGTGTGGCCTGCAGGCAAGGGAATGTATGAGGCAGACCACACAGGGTAGAGACACACTCCTCCCCACTTCCTTGGAGAGATCAACTCTTTAATTTGAGGAAGTCTTTACATTCTCTCAGAGCCTGTCTACAAACTTTGGTAGAGCATTAAGCTAATTCAGGAAAAAGGCACTCATTTAGAAATAAGAGCGTCCACACACAGGTTTTCTGGAATAGCTCTTCCACTCTGGCCAGGTCTACACTAGGAGTTTAGCTCGAATTTAGCAGCGTTAAACCCAATTAACCCTGCACCCGTCCACACAACGAAGCCCTTTACTTCGATATAAAGGGCTCTTAATATCGATATCTGTACTCCTCCCCGACGAGGGGAGTAGCGCTGAAATCGGTATTGCCATTTCAAATTAGGGTTAGTGTGGCCGCAATTTGACAGTATTGGCCTCCAGGAGCTATCCCACAGTGCACCATTGTGACCGCTCTAGACAGCAATCTGAACTCGGATGCACTGGCCAGGTAGACAGGAAAAGCCCCGCGAACTTTTGAATTACATTTCCTGTTTGCTCAGCGTGCAGAGCACAGGTGACCATGCAGAGCTCATCAGCACAGGTAACCATGCAGTCCGAGAATCGAAAAAGAGCACCAGCATGGACTGTAAGGGAGGTACTGGATCTGATTGCTATATGGGGAAAGGATTCCGTGCCAGCAGAACTACGTTCCAAAAGACGAAATGCCAAAACATTTGAAAAGATCTCCAAGGGCATGATGGAGAGAGGCCACAATAGGGACTCACTACAGTGCCGCGTGAAAGTGAAGGAGCTCAGACAAGCCTATCAAAAAAACAAAGGAGGCAAACGGTCGCTCTGGGTCAGAGCCGCAGACATGCCGCTTCTACGCTGAGCTGCATGCAATTCTAGGGGGGGGCCGCCACCACTACCCGACCTCTGACCGTGGATTCTGAGGCGGGGGTAATCTCAGCCATGCCTGAGGATTCTGCGGACGGGGAAGATGAGGAGGAGGAGGACGACGATGAGCTTGCGGAGAGCACACAGCACTCCGTTCTCCCCAACAGCCAGGATCTTTTTCTCAGCCTGACTGAAGCACCCTCCCAACCCCCAGACAATGAGGCCATGGAAGGGACCTCCGATGAGTGTACCTTTGTAAATATAAAACATGGTTTAAAAGCAAGCGTTTTTTAATG